AAAGAATTGCACGGATGCACCATTTATCCTTCTTTTGAAAGTTGCCACATTGGTGATTTTGCCTTGAGCCACTGTGGAGAGAAGTCCCTGCCACTGATGCTCTCCATGCTGAGTTGTACGTACGTTGAACTTCTTCCGCGCTGTACGTAGCCAGCCGTGCTCATTGGAGGTGCTCGGTGAGCCCAGGTTTTTCCTTGCGCAAACGAGCGCTTGGGCAGCATTCTTCGTCTGCGTTGGTGTTTCCAAGTCGGTGATGGAAATTCGACATTCCAATGGCAGGGGGTTAGAATGTACAATGTGATTTTTTTTTTATCAATGGTCACTTACCACAGAGGCGACTAATTTTATCTACCCCTGAGTGATGATGGGCCGAGTCCATCTCCATTTCTGAACAAAGAAGTGCCGCTGGGTGACGTGTTAATGACGTGGCGATGTTCTACAGACACCGCATCCTGTCCCCCCTACCATTAGGGCACTTTTATATTTGACCGTGCAATTGGTAGGATTAAAACTCCCAGCTGAGGGGGAAAATGGACGTCATGAGTGAATGTGAATTTTTCATTTCAGAAAAAAATAATGCATTATTCTAAAATGTAACATCCCAGGATGAGTGGTCATTCCTTTTTAGCTGCAATCAGCCTGGCGATTTCCTCCGTAAGTAAATCGCGTTCTGTTAAACAGCGAGACATTGATTTTTAGAGTGAGGGGGAAAATGTCTTTGCTCGGCCGTTGTCGAGAATCGTAGGCATTGCAGTGGCTGCTGTCACCGAGGGTGATACATGCTCCTTGTACTGTACGGTCAAAAGTAGATGGCGAAGTAAGACCTCGATATGTGGAGGAGATACATTCCTGTAGCGTCGTATCTTGACCGACGTATAACATCACTGAGGATGCTTTCACGCAGCCTTTGTAACTTTCCATTTCATCCCATAAACACGTCCATAACTTGCCCATTCGTATTGTAAACAGACTGTATTGAAAATAATATTATCATCTGAATACGACGTTTCGCCAGTATTTACAGCCGGCCTCAGGCGACAGCCAGTTTGTGGATAAATCTGCCTGTTTCGTTCCTTAAATAGGGGGGTAGCTGTGAAGACATCCCTTGTGAGCCCTTCTTGTGCGTGGTGGGTGGGGGGGGGGGATTGATGAATGCATCTAAATCACAATGGGCAGCCATTACCGGGTGGGTTATATACATGGTAACATCTTGACTTTTAAAGCTTTCGTGACTGCAGGAATTCAAATTCTTTGGGTCTTTTGGTAAAGTTGAGTAGATAGGTTAAAAGAAAATAACAAACAAAAAAACTACGACGTTTCAATCGCAACGCAATGCTTGCGACTATACCGAAAGACCCAAAGAATATATTTGTATGGTAATCAACGAACATGATGCATGTACATTGATCTTGTATCTCCTGTCGTTTGTGTGCACTGAAATAGCAGTACGTTATTGTCTGTTCACAGGTAATCCCAATTGACGTGTGGTGACCTGGAGAGGCATGCATTTAAACTATATTATTTGATGAGTCAAGCAGCACTAAGTCTGTTGCTATCCAAATGGTTAAAATTATTTTTATTTCTCAATTTCAATAGATTATCTAATGAGTCATGTGGAAGAAACTTGTTATTCTTATTTCATAGTACTGTAGATGGGTTAAATATTTATTTATAATTTTCAGTGCATTATTTTACTTTGTTTCTACCTTTCTGTGTAACATAAGGCTGTAAAAAAAAACAAGTTCGTTATATCAAAACTTAAGTTTATCGAATGTATGCATATCGAGGTCTTCCTGTACAGTAGAGTGTACTAAGTACATCTGGCTTGGTGGCTCTGCAGTTGGAGAATCTTTACAGCTCATCTGATTCCTCCAGCATAAATACATATTCTGATTCGTATCCTGTTCGGGAGGTCGGCGTGGCCCAATCATCCTTGCTGCATTTTGGAATGTGTAAGTCCACCACCGTCGCAAGCTGTCGGGGGGAGGGAGGAGCGGGGGCAATTGCTCGCTACTGAGTGCTTTGAGGGCAGTGACCGTGTGACGTTCGCTAAGCTCTCAACGATATAATTTTCCGACGATACGCTGCCAAACGTGACGACTGACGCGATTTTACCAGTGGCCAGTTTCTCATGGCGGTGTGCATTGTCTCGGATTTTATTTTAGTTTTGCTGCTTTGCTTCGTATTTCTTGTAATGAAATTGAAGGTGGCTTAAAAGTTCTTCAAATGCAGTTCCCTTGGCAGGACAACGTCAAGAGAATTTGAATCGTAGCAACTTCACAACAACCCCCTCGTGGTTAAACCGCACACGCCGCTGTCAGTCGAACGCTTCCAATAAAATAAATCGATCACCTTAAACGACCCCTAATCTCCATGCCACCCCCTAATTGAATAGCTAACAGGAGGTATTTATTTACAACTTTAATCGTACACTTTTGTTCATTTGTAAGCATTTTGTCAAAAAGTAAAAACATTGAGGTGAATAAAACGAGCGACCGATAATCACGCCATCGCGAATTTTGGCCCAAGTGGACCCTCCACTGCTGACGAAGGCGTTGCTGTGTAGTCGCCAGGGTGGATTTGGGGTTCTCCCAGTTCAGCACCAATTGGGTCGGCGTTGGGGAGCGGGCTGGGCGGGGGGGTGGAGGAGGGGGAGGGGGAATCCACGTCCCCACAGAGCCGCGTGTGAATCGAGGCCCTGTGGTGGGCCCTGCAGGAGTTGCCGGTGGTGGTGGGGGGGGGGGAGGCTTCTTGCGGTGGGCACTCATCGTGCTGGGAACAGCGCTCGCTGTTCCCAGGTGAAACCCGAACGAACAAGCGGCTCCTGTTCCACACGCAGCGCTCTCGAGCCACGACCACCGCCGCTGGTTCTGCTCGAGGGCCTCCCTGGTGACGGGCGCTCAAATGACCCCCACGACCCCGCACGGTGCAGGGTCGTGGGGTTCATCCGAGCGCCCGTCACCGCCGGCCACTGCAGGGACCACAATCGTGGGCCTGGCACGTGGCACATGTCTCCTGCAGCCGCCCATGACGGCCTGCTGTGCTCGTCGGCCAGCCCTGCACTATCCTGGCCGCCCTGAAAACCGCCACCTGGAAATTCTGGTGGTCGCTCATCAAAGCGCTCTGCAGGCTCTCACCCCCTGCTGCAACATTGCTTCTCTAGACGTGGGCCGTGTGACTGTTTGAAGCTTGGGGAAGCCATGAGAACGTATTTAAACTTCATGGTCTGGTCCCTCGGTCTATAGTTGGGCGATGGCTCGGCACGCTAACCCACTCTGTGCTACAATAATCATTACGGTGTGTGAGTTTTTACATGCTTCTGGATGATCGTTTACTAAACTAAACAATGTTTTATTTTAAAACTAAGCTATTTTCATTTTAACCAGGTAATTATTTTTTATTCAATTCACACATTTTCACGAAGGCAAGGAATTATGGATTGTGCTTTGGGGATGACCGGCCCATTGGGAGCCCCAAGCAGAAATAATTTTTGGTCTCTCCGACCTTTTGGATTTTTAATCTCCCTGTGAGATGCTCTGAGAGCCGCCTCGAGACCCGAGATGGCTACGTCGTGAGAAGAGATTAAAGGAAGAGAGCTTCAGTTGAGACGGATGTGAATTTAGAGTTGTAGACAATGGACAGACATGCATTGAGTTTTGTTGTCTTTGCCTAGGTTCGTTTTTTATTTTTATGCTTATTAGGAATTGAATTTGAGCTCCTATTTAATGCACCCGTTTTACTGTGAATCCAGGGCCCCTTGAGCAGCCTCTTGGGACTCTGAGCTTCCACTTGGTGGGGTTTTATGCAAACACTTTTTGCGCAGAAATATAGAATGATCCGTGTGTAAAGGTAGAAGCGTCTCCGTATGACGGCACTCCTGTACAATCGGGTCATGGCTGTAAACCATCTCAAGGTGGTCACGGTTGTGAGAGATGACCGAGCGTCCCGCGCGTGGCCAGGGTAGGTCGCTCATCAGTAGCACCCCTTTTTTTTTTGTTGACCGTTCACGTGGTGGTTTTCCTCTCGCCATGCTTACAACCCGAACCGAAGCTTAACACTCAATGCCCCTCCTTGATTGATTTTCAGCCGTCCTCTGCAAGAAACCCATCGCACCCAAACCTCATTACCCAGACACCAATTATGTAAGTCTATCCCTCCTCTGCCGGGGACGCCCCCCGCTCATCCACTGAGCACTGTCCGCTCCGCGTTCTCTCGTGACCTGATTTTCTCACCCCGAAAACCCCCATCGCCAAAACCAACAATTTTTTTAGATGCTTGTCATTGTTAGCATCCCCGGGTCTGTACCGCTGCCGGATGAAGGCCTCCAGAAGTCGTCCTGCCCTCTCTCTCTCTCTCTCGCTCGTGGCCGTGCGTCGTAACAATCGATCCGACTCCTGCCCCCGCGAGCTGAATTCGTTGCTCTCGTTTCGACAGCGGACGTGCTCCCGGCCACTCGGGGTCACTCGTTTTGCAATTGGCGTGAGTGGTGGTCCCACCCTGGACACCAGCGACTGCACGCACATCCGCTCCACGGATGTGGCTTTTTCCGCTAATGGACTTCCCTCCATCCCAGCCCTGGATGGACTGATGGGCAGGACGGAGTCTTTTTTACAGCAAAATTTACGTGCAGCATTGCAGCACAACATCTATCGCTGTGCTTTTTTAGTTCGATGCGCCCTCCGCATTCACCAACTCGCGCCCACCCATCACGGTGAAGTATAGTCAAATGAGCCCCACGGCCCGGGGAAAGCCCTCATCCAGCAGCGGATTGACATGGGGGGGGGAGGGGAGGCGTACACACGGACAGACGTGCGAGCGTTCGCATTCCGCAGCTGCTGCGTTGCCACCGCTACGGAACCTGGTCCGACCTCCGTGGATGATCGGGTCGATCTGAACACTTGGGCGGAGGGGGCTTTGGTTGACCTTTCCTGAACCGTTGTGCTCTGTGACCCCCCCCCCTCCCCCCACCGCCACCCACCCCCGTCCTTGTCCCCATGCAGGCGCGCACTTGAACCCGGCGGTGTCGATGGCACTGGCGGTGCTCGGCCGCTTCTCTTGGAGCAAGTTCCCCTTGTACGTCACCGCTCAGCTGCTCGGGGCCTTCATGGGCGCCGGCACCGTCTTCGGCCTCTACTACGGTGCGGCTGTGCACACGCGTCACCTGCGCCCCCTCCCCCCACCTCCTCTCTCTCTTCTTGTCGTTATTTGTTTATCTATTCCGTCATTTGTCAACAGTTGCGGAGTGACAGGAATGCTTCTGTGGCGTAACGGTTAACAAACTTGACTTGCAATCCAGAGGTCACCGGATCGATTCCATCCCCTGGCGTGGCAGTTGATACAATGGTGGAGAATTTTTTTTTATCTCTTCCCCCCTCTCCCCACCAACTCTGTCCACCCAGCGCTATACACGGGCTCGATCGCAGTCGGTGTATCTGCGTGTCCACTGGCAGCCAAGTTGACCAATCCTCGTGAGGCCCTGTGCATTGTCCTGGCAAGGTTCACCGGACGGTGCTGTGCCCAAACGATGTTGGTTGTCGATGTGATCGCAGTGAATAAGCACTCGGTTACAGTAAGCCAGAAATCGAATTTTAAGCGAGACGAGCAAAGTTGCTGGCTTGCTTGTCCAATGCCGCTGGAACTCGCTGCTTCGATCCCGACCCTGACGCCTGCTGTACATTTGGAGTTTGCGTGTCTCGCCCCCGTGGTCGCGTGGATTTTTTTCTCCGCGTCCTCCGGGATTTCCCTCCACATTTAGGAACACGCTTTTAGACTATTTAGATTGTTCTGCAATTTAAAATGTCCGAATGATAAGCCACTTTATCATTTTTGGCCAGGTCGCTTTTGATAAACACCTCTGTGGGCTTTGGCTGATAGGAAGGGGATGGTGTAGATTTATTTGCGTGTGTTTGGACGATTTGTTTACCTTTTCTAGTACTTTGAACTCCTATCGTGTGTTGTGCTGTTTGTTGTCGCATTCTTACCCGCCCCGACTGGACATCTATGAAAAAGAGCTTTATAGCTCATCGGATTTCTACCAGTATAAATACATATTCTGATTCTGTATTTTAACAAACCGTTGTGTCGCCACGCTTCCTCCTTCGTAGTGCGCATGTGTCACGGCCCGGGGTGGTGTTTTTTTTAAGGACACTCCACGTCTGCACAATGCAGAGTTGTGATGTACAAACATTCTTTTATCTGACATCTGTGCGTGCGTGCGCACAAGTGGCTCGCACCAGCATGAGAGTTTCCGAGGGTCGCTTCCACGTGAGCGACAAGACCGTATTTTCCCAAACGCTAACAGGCGCGCTGTTGTTTGTTGCTGAATTCAGATAGCGTTTTTGTGTTGCGTGAGGACTCGAGGGTTGTGTTTTTTTCCTGCACCTAGGAATGTGACGATTTAATGTTTTGCACGCGATCCATTGTGACCATTGCGGCGTTTTGAAGAAGTTTGCGAAGTGTGTGCATGCGCAGGGGTTTCGATTCTGCTGGAAATTACACTGTGTCTGGTAAAAAAATATACACATGCAGTACGGCACGTCACACCTCGGCCAATGCCTCTCTACCTGGCTGATAACCGCCCACTCCCAGTGTACTGTGCGTGCGCAGTGTAGCTCTCGTTTGCTTCATATATTCACACATCCGACCTTATTAGCACATCCGCCTAATACCTTCGTCCTGTAAATATTTTCCTTCTGAGCTCTTCCTGGCGGCGTCTGGTACACAGGAGGTTGTGAGTTCGATTCCGACCCTGACGCCTGCTGTATATTTGGAGTTTGCGTGTCTCGCTCCCCATGGTCATGTGGATTTTTCTCCCAGTCCTCTGGTTTTCCCCCTCGACATTTAGAAACATGTGTTTTAGAGATATTTGGCTGCTATACATTTGCACATGATAAGCCACTTCATTGGGCTATCATTTGTGACCAGGTCCCTTCGGAAAACGCGTTTATATAGCTCAGTAGTGGGCCTTACCTAGTTACATAAAAAGTCTAGCTCATGTAATGCCTGTCAACCCATACGGTTTACCCCTATTCCTGTACAGCCGTTTCAATACAGGCAACATTTTTTTGTCTCTCTTTGTTTTTCTCCCTAGTGAAGGGACTTTGTAGGATGAACGTTGAGATTTATAATGGGCACGGGGTGACCAATAAGGTCTGACTTGGTCTGTAATAAGGTAGGGCACTGATAAGGGGTTGACAGGTATGACAATGTGCGCATGGTCAACAGTTTAACACGGCCCTGCAAACACGACCGCGCTTCACTTTCCATAACGGCTGACGCAGCGTTCGGCAACTTACGAGATCCTCGCTAGCGTCACCTCGATGAAGAGGTCGTCGCAGCCATTGCCACCGGTGGAGCCCAAAATGTTTTCCTTCTGCCCCAAATCCTTTTGGCTGTCTTGCATTTGACGCCCAACCCCCCCCCCCCCCACCACGGGGTCCACTTTCGGCGCCGCCACTACCACCACCACCAACGCTGTCTGGCAATGGGGGTTTTTTTACCTTACCACCTATGCTGTTAACGCTGAAAGCGTTGCGATCTTAATCTACACAAAGAGGTTCGGTCGTTGTTTTTGATATTCTCAAGGTATGAGTCCTGGGGCAGGAATGTGTGATGGTAAATGATACAACTGGCGGTGGACAGGAAGATGTGGGTGAGGGACGTTGATTAGCACGTGAGGTCGGATTTATAAACCCCGACGCGTGGACACGGTTCTCACAGATGACCGCGCGCCTGCCGTGGGCTTTGTGTTCCACCCTGTCTGGTTTTTGAAATGTTTATTTCTTCATCATGGGACTTCCTTTACCAGTACCAAAATATACTAATAAGGTTTTTCCCCTTTTTTCTGGCAACAAAACTGACAGCTGTCTCTGGTGTGGACCAATCAATTTTAAAGACAATGCATAAATTATCAGAGTATTGTTTTTTGTTTGCATTTGACTGCAAGTATTGTGGTTAATGTAAGCACGATGCCTTGCAAAAGGTGTCAGTTTTGTTGCCAGAAAAAAGGGGAAAAACCTTATTAGTATGTTTATTTCTATTCATTTATTTACCCCCACACAGCGGCCTCGCTCGCACGGGGGGGGGGACACGGCAACACGCCCCCCCCCCCCACCACCTTGCCCCGTCTGCCACCTTCGTGATCTGATGTCTCCTCTCGCGTGCTTTTTAACTTTCTCTGCATGAGGAACTCCGCACCACCTCCGCAATTCTCACGGTAACCTCTGGCGCGGTACGTGGTCACTTCCTCTTATCTGCTGCTCCCCACCCCCCCCACCCCCACCCCGTTCATTGAAACGTCCTCCCGGTATCCACTGAAAATTCCCCTCTGATATTTCAAATCTCCAACGCGACTCCCCTCGCCTCCCTCCTCCTCCGAGACCTCGTGTGTGTATTGTAAAGCCGGTGCATTGTGGATCAATGTATTCCAGGACCTTGAGTTCAAAAGGCAAAAGGACCTTGATCTGTTTTGGTGCTGCAAAGATGAGTGTTTGCTTAGCAGGTGGGCGAGTGCGGTGGCTGTTTTTTGTTTGTGTAACCCTATCGTCTCAGCGACGTGACTTCTAATCCCCACGAGCGTCACGAGTGAACCGACTGGCAGTCCGACCTGCAACCCCCAAAGTCAACATCGCTAATATTTATGGCGCGACCCTTAAAGCATCCCTGCCAGTGCATCCCCCCGATCTGTGGTGCGTAGCGAACCCCCATTGTCCTCCAATACAGATCCACCCCTCCACCTCCCCTCTCTGCGTTAGAGATTTGGGCCACAATCTCTCCCGTGGTGGTGTGGCCTGCACTCGACTTGCAGAGCACCACCGCACCCTGCAGTGTCCGCCAACCGTGACGTCGGCGGAGAGATGCGTTTTGCTTTTCTTTTGGCTCCCGGAGTTCATCACCGACAGCCCTCCTCTCGCTCGGCGCATCCAATCTCAGTCGTCAGCCGCGGCCTCTCCCCCGCCGGATGAAGGGTCTTGCGATGAAACCGATCCGTCTGGCTCGGGCGCTCTCTCGTTGCTCCGGCATCGCCGAGGCAGATGTCCTCCTCTCTCTCGCTCTCTCGCTCTCTCTTAGGTGCGTTAACACGTTTGTCACGGTTTTTTCGCAGACGCCTTCATGTACGTCTCCAAAGGGAACCTGACGCTGCAGCTCGCAGGGGTCTTCGCCACCTTCCCGTCACCGCATCTCTCCATCGGAAACGGATTTGTTGATCAGGTGACAAACTCTCCCTCCCTCCCTCCATTGAGTCGCGAGGCTCGCCGGGCCATGCAGGGACATTCTGAAGTTGTAAACGTAGGACGTTGCACTTGGCCAGCAAATAGGTTTCTGCGGCCTTGCCACCTTTCCGGAGTGTTACTCTATTTTATTGATCGCCGAGTGATAACGGCCTTGGCTGACCGTTGACCTGGACTCGCCAACTGCCCGATGGAAAGCTGCGCGTTGAGCTCCAGTGCCCCCCTCTCGCCCCCCCCCCTCCGCAGCTGATTGGCACAGCGGCGCTGCTCGTGTGCATCCTCGCCGTGATCGACAAGCGCAACAACCCGGCGCCCCGCGGCATGCAGCCCTTCCTCATCGGCCTCATCGTCGTGCTCATCGGCCTCTCCATGGGCTTCAACGCCGGCTACGCCGTGAACCCTGCGCGCGACCTCGGCCCCCGCATCTTCACCGCCCTCGCCGGCTGGGGCTGGCAGGTCTTCTCGTAAGTCTCGTCGTCAGTCGGCTGTGGTCAATCCACTGGCGGATGAAGGCCTCGCAGACATGAGAATTATTATTTTTTTATGAAAAAAAAGATTTCCCATGGGTGATCGAGCGTTTTGGCTGCCACGCACCACGAATATTGCGCTCCGAAAATTTGACCCGAGCATTGTTTTACAAGGCAGTGGCCCCACTGCATCGATGCACAGGTGTATGTTGAACTTCTTTCGCAACACCTACTGACCAACAGCAACAACACCCACTGACGAACAAACGTGAGCTCACGCCGCGAGTGTGCGTTCTGCTGCAGGGCGGGCAACTACTGGAGCTGGGTGCCTGTGGTGGCGCCCATGCTGGGCGGCGTGCTGGGCGCCTTCATCTACGAGATCTTCATCGGCCTGCACCTCCCCGAAGAGCCGGCCAGCTCCGGGCCCGAGCCCGGGACCCCGCGATCGCACCAGGAGCTCGCAAAGCTGCAGGCCAACATGGCAGACGCCATGTGCTGATAGGGCGCGGGGGTGAGGGGTGAGAGGGGTGGGGTGGTTGAGGGGAGGGGGGCGCTCTAGTGTGGAACGATGAAGGCAGCTCCTCCCACGTGGTTTTCGTGCCGTCCGTTCCGCGGCACGACGTTCCGACGTTTCTCCTCCACGTGCCACGAGAGCTTCTTCGGCAACCTAAGAAATCCAGAATTCGGCACGGTCACCCAAGAAACTCCTCGGCACGTGGAGCAAAACGTCGGACATCGTGTGCCGAACGATGCCCCCCGCCCCCCCCCCCCCCCCCCTCCCGAGAACCACATCGGAGAACCGTGCAGCGCGACCACATAAAAAACCCTGGACAGTGGGACAAAAGGGGATCGCGTGGGGCACGGCGACTCGTCAGCGGCCCCCTCAAACCCGCCGGGGCGAGACGCAACGAGGCTGTTGCGTGGATCCCCCGTATCCGTTAACAGCATTCGATAATCGGGCCAGATTCAGTTGCGCAAGTTGGCGAGTCGTCTCGTTTTTTCCCCGGGCCAAGGCTTCCGCTAAGGTTGCCGTGACGCGTGTGAACCCCTTTGACAGGCCAGAGAGCCGGGTCACGCAGCCGGCTCCATCGCGCTGCAGCGCGGGTGTCGCGTGCGGCGTGGGTGTCGCGAGTTACGAGCGTCGGCGGACTGTGATCCCTGTGGTGGGTGACTTGTAAACCAAAAGCTGCCCGTGTAACATGAAGTAGGAACCGCTCATTGTGGTCCGTGCAGCTTGAATTGGCAAACTATATTCGCTGCTGACATTTGTATGTTTTGGTTCTAGATACTAGACGTACATTGTAAAGTAAGAGCGACCCCTGTCCAGCAAAGCTTTATAGTGGAGCCGATTCTAACCGCGCGGTGAAAAATAATTGGGCCTCCCTTAAAGACAATGTCAAAATGAGAATGGTGTTTGTAATTTTGTTCTGATCTGGCATCCCACATTGAGCATTTTGGGTCAAAAAATGTAACATAGACTCCCACCAAGATGATCATGATATAATTTTAGTCTATATCCTTTATTTCCAGTAAACCTCCTTGTAATATACCAACCCTTGCTTTTAAATAGTTCAGTTACTCTCATTTGATTTAGCAAATGTAGTCTTGTTATCAAATACAAAGCATTTCACAAGTGAAGCTTAAACATTTCTCAAAAGTTTCATAATAAAAATGGGTGAAGGTTTTCGCATACACTAGTTAATATACCGAATTTTATATACGTTTTTATTTCAAGACTAATAAAGATGTTGGGGTTGTTAGGGAGAAACGGTGCCGAAGGTCCCGAAGTGTTCTCAAGCGAAGTCCGTCGGCTCTTGAGCCACGCTCGACTTGAGCCGGCTCGGAGCCACGGTCCCAGCCACGCTCGGGATCAAAGCCGAGCCACGTGTGAGCCGCTCGAGATTTCGTCAAAGCGAAACGAGTGGCTCGAGTCGAGTCCCGGCCCTGACTGCAGTGCCCACGGTCACTTTTATATCGCCTCCTCCTCCTCCCTACTGGCAGACTATCAATGACCTATCAGGCCGGTGCTGCGTTCACCTTGCGGCCACACAGAGACAGCTGCCACAGGGCGAGGGGGTCCCCTTGGCTCGACTGCAGCAGGGCATTGGGATGGTTGATGTGAGACGCAAGGCGCTTTGAGTTGCTGACGCTTTTTGAGCGAGGGGCGGGGGTTGGGCAGGCCCCTGTACTTGCAACTTCTTTACTCTTCTTCACTTGTACATCGGTTGCATATTAATTATTGTATCTTTTGTATATGTAAAAGTAATATAGTCTTTTTGTGTCCTGTGCTTCAAAGTCTTATAAGTCTATACATTTCAATTTAACAGAATAAAATAAAACTGCCTCGAGAGATATGGAGTATCCCCCCTCCCCCCATCACTGTGTGTGCGGTGCAGTGAGTCGGAGCGGGTGCAGTGAGTCGGAGCGGGTGCAGTGAGTCGGAGCGGGTGCAGTGAGTCGGAGCGGGTGCAGTGAGTCGGAGCGGGTGCAGTGAGTCGGAGCGGGTGCAGTGAGTCGGAGCGGGTGCAGTGAGTCGGAGCGAGGTGAGTGTCGGAGCGGGTGCAGTGAGTCGGAGCGGGTGCAGTGAGTCGGAGCGGGTGCAGTGAGTCGGAGCGGGTGCAGTGAGTCGGAGCGGGTGCAGTGAGTCGGAGCGGGTGCAGTGAGTCGGAGCGGGTGCAGTGAGTCGGAGCGGGTGCAGTGAGTCGGAGCAGGCACAGCCGTTCGCTCCTGGCTGGGCCTCTGCTTGGCCGACTCGGCCCTTGAAGCGAGAGTCCCTTTTTGTGTGCCGGACTTGGGACGTCAATGGGCGGGGGGGGCGAAGGGAACCGAGTCTTCGGCAATACGCAGTCATCGCGTGTGCCGTGGTCGGGATTCGCTCGCTCGCAATCGCTACGAAGGTTCATGCGGTGGGGGGGGGGGGGGGTGACCGAACTCGCTGCGTCTGTCACTGCGTTGAACGACTGCGCCTTCGTCAAATGAAATCCACGCGACCTACTGGCCTTGACACGGCACCGAGAATGCTGGTGGTGCGCGCATTGCTTTCTGCTGTTGCTGCGTATTTAACGGCTTTGACGTCCGCGCAATTTGCTATTTTGCGTCGCCTTTCGTTTTGAAGGGAGGGAATACATTTCCTGCAAGGGGTGGGGTTTTTTTGTTGTTGTTACCAATATTTTCATTTGGTTATCCAGACATCCACAACAACCCACACAGTGGCTGGGCCCCGGATGTACGCGCGCCATCCACGTGGCATTTCTTATATGTATGGTGGAAATCTTTCTCGCCGTACGTAGCCAACGGCGCTAATCGGAGGTGCGGGGGAACGGACTTCAAACTAAACGCCAAGCAGTTTCAAAGAAACCCCGTTTTCAATCCAGATTTAAATGCACCGCTTCAGTGGCTTCCTAATATCGCAAAGGAACCGCGTTCCAGGTGGCCGCAGAAGGCACATCCGAGAGCCAAAAGAAGCTGCTGCGAGGACCCATTTCCCTTTGTGTGTGCAAGCACCTAAATGTCGATTGCCGAGCTAAGCCCCCCCCCCCCCATTCCCATTTGTAACGTTGCACGCGCAATCTTCCCGGCCCGCGATGACCCAAACGACGCGCTCGCACCCTCCCCTCCTCCCCAGCCTGGCGGACGCCACCACGCACCGCACGCGTCGACTGCGAGCGCAGTGGCGTGGGAACTTTTGTGCGGAGGTGGTGCTGGGGGCTGGGAAGAAATGAATGTAACTATCTTACGGTAACAAAATATTAGATTTGTATTAAACCAAAAAGAAATTATCCGTACGTATGTTTCACGTACGGTTTTCATGGCCTTGTAAATAAGTTCACCTCTGCCAAACACGATGACTGTGGCTGCGCTTTTGCAGGTTTTGACGGCTTCACCGCCACTCCAGCGTGGTCCCAGAATGCATCTCGCCCACTCGTGGCTGAAGGCCCCAGATTTTGTCCGTGGTTTTAAAAAATATTTTTTTTTCTGAATGTCTCGCGGAAGCAGTCCAGAAGTTTTGATGCACAATGATCCATTGGTTCGTAAAGTCTCTTCGCTTATTGCTGGGCCGAGAAAATTTGTTCGTTGAACCTCCGGGCAGGCCAAAGTGAGGGTTGCCAGGGCTTTGCTCAAGATAACCCAAACGGCCTTGGCCCTTGAAAGTTTCACGGCATCAAATAGGTGTCTACCGGAGGGACGTGAATCCGATTAAATTAGTCCGCGCCTGGCTATGTGCAACGCAGTGAAAATTAAGTCCCCGTAAGAAGGCCATTTTGGAAGCGTATTCATGGGGGAAATGCTCGAAACGCGGCAGATAATCGTGGGCCTGCTTCTGTATTTTCTTCAACGACGAATCTCAGATCTTGTGTCAAAACCTGCGTGCCACTATTGAGCAACGGGTTGCAAAGACTCGCTATGCTAAGTGGCACATCTACCTGCTGATGCTGGTGTCCATGTTGATCAGAGTGCACCGTCTACTGTAACGTGGGTAAGGGTGTCCACCGACGCGTCAATCACGCGCTGGACGCTGGGTGCCAGTCGCATGCGGTGGGGTGACTTGAGTGTGCAGGCGGTGCAACTGCACCCGGGGCCCACGGGCCAGAGTGGCCCCAGGTGCCAGCACATTCACTGGGGTGCCGCGGTGGTAAGATGTTAACTACTTTGCCTGGTATGCAGGAGTTCGTTGGTTCGATCCCGACCCTGATGCTATATATATGTTTGGAGTGTGCACGTTCTCCCATTGGTCGCGTGGATTTGTTTCTACTGGTCCTCCAGTTTTTCCCTCCACCTTTATAATCAACATCACGCGTTTAGAGTATGTGGCTGCGATTAATATACACGTGCTAAGCCACTCCGTTGAGCTACCGTCTGTGGCCAGGTCGCTTCTGAAAAAGAGTTATGCAGCTCGATGGGCCCTTTCCTGGTGAAATAACGTTGAGTTGCTTTAGCATACTCTTTGGTTCTTTCGATAAAGTCACGTAGGTAGAAAAATAATAGATCACGACGTTTCGATCGCAACACGAGCAATCGTCATCAGGTGGGACAACCACCGCAAGAAACAACTGCTGAAGGATGCCTACTTCAGCAGTTTTTTTTGTGTTGCGATCGAAACGTCGTTATCTATTATTTTTCTACCTACGTGACTTTACCGAAAGAACCAAAGCGTATTGATTCCTGCAGTCACGAAAGCTTCAAATCCAGATTGCTTTAGCATATTAAACATGGCGGCAGAGGCCACGCCCACCAAACGAATGAGTGTAAACCGCAGAGCTTGGGCAATTGACGCCGGCTCGCCGCCTAGGCTCCCTTCCTGCTTGTCCGCGGTGCCTCCTCGCGCCGCCTCCTAGAGTCGTTCTCCCTCCGTCGCTCTCTCTGAGAGTGAGCGACTTATGTGCGACGAGTTGCACGTTACAATCGTGTGTGTGTGTTTGTTTGAACACGAGTGACATTCCGAGTATCTTGCTACTGCCTTCAGATTCAACGTGTGCCCCCCCCCCACTCCACCGCTTGGCTGGTATGGCTTCAATTAACATACCGCTCATTCCTCATCATCCCAAAGGTGTTCCCGCTGATCTTAGGGTAACCAATTTTTCTCTCTCTCTCAAACTTGAAAGGTTTTGGCTTGGACCCAGATTTGCGATTACAACGAGATGTGAAAACCCCAAACATACAGGAATGCTCCTTCAAAGGCTAACAACCCTCTTTGGTGTCTCAGAGAGCGGACATCAACCCAAGACCATACTTCTGATCATTCCCGAGCCTCTGCTACATTGCCAGCTTTGTGTTCATGATGGAAGGAGCTGAAATTCTGAATTCACATTTCCACTCCGGTCCACTTCGTAGCTTACCTGTCATCCCAAAACTCGATTTCTCCTTCCACTTAGTCACACGTCGATAAATTTCCTTCAAACATTAAGCTCGGTGGCTTATCAACCGTGTGTGTACGGCAGCCCGCCTATCAACACCACTCTATCTACACCCCACCTCCCCTCCCCCCAATCCGCACCCGTGGAACTTAAACTTTCTGTCGGCTTAAATTTCGATTTAAAGCTTTCGTGACTGCAGGGATTCATCTTCTTTGTTCTTTCGGTAAAGTCACGTAGAAGGGAAGTAATAAAATAATAAAAATTAAACATAATAAAATAGTATATAATATATATTATTTTATTATGTTTTATTTTTATAATAAATAATATATATTATTTTATTATGTTTTATTTGTAAATAATAAAAATAATAAAATAATATATTACATATTATTTTATTATTATGTTTTATTTTTATGTTTTATTTTTATTATTTTATTACTTCCCTTCTACGTGACTTTACCGAAAGAATCAAGAAGATTTCTGTCGGCTTGTGCGTTCGCGTGTTTTGTCGCCACGACGTGGGACTGAGGTCTCCCCGCACACATTTGACATCTTCACCTGCACGGGATCCGTGCGCAGCCTTTCAACCACGTGCCTGAGAGCGGCCGCGCGAGCCGCTGGACGCCACCCTCCCATTCGCTTGCTCGCGTTGAAGTGTTTGGCTAATCAATATCGCTCCCCGGTCACTTATTCCACTCCTGGCTTGTCTCCCCTTGGCCTTCCACGCTGCTCAACGCGACCAACCCCCCACCACCACTGCCACCACTGCCGTCTTTTGCGTCCAACACCTGACAAACGCGTTTCTCAATTTAATCTCGTGAAGCAAATCGAGGTGAGCCAAACAGTCGTCGAACATTTGGCTTGTTGGCTTCTCGCGCAAACGTTCGCCGTTTGCACATTTTGATACCAATGACGGCCGATGTCGTCTTGGCCTGCCATCGCCGATGTAAAACAGAAACACTCGCAATGATGCAATGAACCCTCGTTCATACCGTTCGTTCGCCAAAATAAGCCCACCTGGGGTTTCGCGCAGCAGCCGTGCTGGCCAAGGGACGCAATCGTCGATGATCTCGGCCACGCTGGTCTAAAAAGTGTCCGCTGCTCCTCACTCGTCGAGGGTCACTGACTGGCTCGGTCCCCACGTGGCACGCAACACGTCGGCGCGTCATCGGATCGATGTGAGAAGCCGTATGCGCGTCTTCACCCCTGTTCTACACCAGTAGGCAATACATGTATGGTAATCATCGCAAGTGCCTACATTCGCTTGATGTGTGTTTTATGTTTCACCCGGGCCTTCTCCATTCGATGCGCATGGATCTGACTTCGCTTCTTCGCAGTGATCTTCGCCGCCTTTTAATTCGTTAAAAAGCGGTTTGAATGGTAAATGGGACCGGCTCAAACAGTAGAGCATGACCCCCCCCCTCCTTCTAAGCCCGGGGGGTAATCGCGAGACAGACAATGGGCTGCCCACTGAACTCCTTAAACTCGGCGCGC